CTCCGAATCCTCCTTTGCCAATCCTATTCTCATCTGAAAAATTGTTGGTTGCTGCTTTAAGTGTAGCCAAGTTGAATTGTAGGGGCTCTAAAGTGAGACTTTCATTACCAACTGGGTGATATTAACATTATTGAATTGTAAAACTTGTTAAGTAGTTAAACATGAAAACTTAAAAAATATATATTACACGTTTTCTTAAATAATAATACTTACAATTTTCTCTTAGGAGAGTCTTATTGCTCTTTTTCAGACTCTTATTGCTTTTTTTTGGTTTTCTCTTGATCAGATAGTAGCACAAAAAGATGAATGTTATAAAAACAGTTGTAGGTACGATAATCAAGATCCATATTCGCAATGATACTTTTCTTTTTCCTGCAAGAAAATGTACAGGTAATCAATAAATCATGACAAGTTATAATATATACTGATATGAAAATGATGAAAGGCTAGCTCCCCTCCAAATGGTAATGGAGTTGTTCTTGTTCTGCATGTTGATTAGACGAGTTTCCAATACATTATCGAATAGACACTACACGACACAGTAATTAGTCAAAGAAGGCATCCCGTGCCGTGTTTGAAACGGGAGAAATAATATATGGGCACCATATTATTATAAATATTCTATTAAAAAATGTTATTTTTCTTTATTGGTATGATTAGATATTTTTATGTTCATTTAATACAACGGACAAAATAATTATAAAAGTATATTTTTATATTTTTTTTAAGAAAAAAATAAAAATAAATAAAAAATATTAAATGAAATTTTAGCTGTGTTAAATAATATTTTTTTACTTATTATATTTATATTTCTCGTTTTTTCAAGTCTCATTCCTTACTCTGTGTGTCCAATAACATACGAGAGACACCTTTAAATGCTACTTACTCCTACCTCATATATCTACCATTTTATCTCCAATATATATGAAAAAGATCAATCAACGCTAAGCACGGTGATACAGTGATGTCATTGAAAAATCAAAGAATGATATTTTACAGCTTTATCTTTTCATTGCTTCTCTTTCCGACTTTCATTNTTTTTTGGTTTTCTCTTGATCAGATAGTAGCACAAAAAGATGAATGTTATAAAAACAGTTGTAGGTACGATAATCAAGATCCATATTCGCAATGATACTTTTCTTTTTCCTGCAAGAAAATGTACAGGTAATCAATAAATCATGACAAGTTATAATATATACTGATATGAAAATGATGAAAGGCTAGCTCCCCTCCAAATGGTAATGGAGTTGTTCTTGTTCTGCATGTTGATTAGACGAGTTTCCAATACATTATCGAATAGACACTACACGACACAGTAATTAGTCAAAGAAGGCATCCCGTGCCGTGTTTGAAACGGGAGAAATAATATATGGGCACCATATTATTATAAATATTCTATTAAAAAATGTTATTTTTCTTTATTGGTATGATTAGATATTTTTATGTTCATTTAATACAACGGACAAAATAATTATAAAAGTATATTTTTATATTTTTTTTAAGAAAAAAATAAAAATAAATAAAAAATATTAAATGAAATTTTAGCTGTGTTAAATAATATTTTTTTACTTATTATATTTATATTTCTCGTTTTTTCAAGTCTCATTCCTTACTCTGTGTGTCCAATAACATACGAGAGACACCTTTAAATGCTACTTACTCCTACCTCATATATCTACCATTTTATCTCCAATATATATGAAAAAGATCAATCAACGCTAAGCACGGTGATACAGTGATGTCATTGAAAAATCAAAGAATGATATTTTACAGCTTTATCTTTTCATTGCTTCTCTTTCCGACTTTCATTTTCATTACAATTTCCATATTTATTCCTCTAAAAGACCAAGACCTCAAGATGTGGCGTTAAACAATGGATGAAAGTGCCATTAGCCTAAGATGTCAGAGCTACCCAGAACTACGGGACAAGGAATCAGACCAAATATATGTACTTTGACCCACATGATAAAGAACCTTCATATCAGGCTAATGACTATACTGAATTTCTTGTAGTAAAAATTAAGTGCATGTTCACATTAGATGAACATTTGATCTCAAAATTAACTTAATTCATCGTCAAACACAAAGCAAAAAAAAATAATTCTGAATAAACTTAAACGTACCTGAAGATGCTTCGCTATCTTGTGAGATGTTAGGACATGGTCCATCTCTGCAGTAACATGTTTGCTGTGAAGACCCTTCAAAACCGCATTCTCCACCTGATTTTTCGCACTTGGCACATTCTTCAACACCTATTATCCATCTCACCACAAACCCTTCTTTGATTGCCAGGTATACTTGGAAGAAACTATCAATCTGCTGCAATGAAAGAGGAACCGGAACAACCACACTAGTTTTGCAAGACAAGGGAGAAAGTGACCCAAACTGAGAATAAACGGTTTCCCCAGAAGTTCGATTACAGCGAATATAGTTGGTAGGCAAAAACTCTGAAGAAGTGCAACCATAGGAAAGGGTAAGATTGTTATAGGGTGACTCGTAAACGTAGAGCTGAGTGTCAAGGCTGGTGCTGACTTGTTCTGGCTGGCATAAGTCTATCAAGTCATCTTGTTTGGTGATTTTCAAAGTATGGCTATCTGGGTTGGCTTCCGAAACCTTGTATTTGACATCCTTAATGGTTATGTAGCTGATCTCGTTTTCGCAGATGAGTTCCATCAGAGGGTGGCCACACTCTCTTGGGCGGTTCCCTCCCCAGAATGGAAAACCGATGTTTCTTATTTGGCCACAACTTATCAGATTAGGGCAATTGCTGTAAGTATGATTGGAGCTTAAGCATGAAAGTAAATTAAAAAGTAGGAGGAAGATAATTGAGTGATGAAGTATAGTGATAAGAGGGAGATGAACACTGTGGGAAGCCATTGACAGAGTGGAAAGAAAAAGTCAGGGAAGAAGAAAATGTGACTCAAAAGAATGAATTAGTATTTTAAGATATATAGAAATTGCTTTCTAAAGACAAGTAACTGTGCTTGTGGAAAGGTTTAACTTGACTTAACGCCAATTTTAAGTATAAAATTTTACATAACTTGAACTGTCTTTCTTGAATTCATTTTTGTACCTGAGGAACCTTTATAATACGGAAAAGTGCCCTTAATTTTAAGCACGTGGGGTTAGTTTTGATCCTCTGTCTATTTATTTATATTTTATCCGGTTGAAGAGCTTTAATGAATTTAAAAAATAATTGAAATATAATTCAGTGTAAAGTTCTCCTAATTTCATTTAAAAGGAATTGACATAGTCATGTTTGAGTTAATAGTATAAGTCTTGTTATCTTTGTAATCTCTACGTGTTTAATCATGTTTGTTTGATGTTTTCTCTCTTTAAATGTTTATTAGCATTATTAACTTTTCTCTTTGTGAAAACTTTTGTAAATGTACCTAGAACAGTAAATAAATATGATTATAATTATTTTTAATGTTAAACTACATTAATTAACAATAATACATCGAGATGTAATAAAAAAATAGAATATATGTTACGGTTGAAAACTTTTGTCAATAATACATAATATGCTAAGGTTTTATGAAAAAGTTGTAGTTTGTAGACTATTTTTTTTTAAATTCCATAATAGATTACACTTGGGTGTTATAGTCTATAGTTATGAATAGACTGTGATTTTTTATCTAATCATAATCAATTATGGAATTTAAAAAAAAATCATTTTATTAAACAAGGATTTAACAATACCAAAAATAACTTGTTGAACTAGATAGTTTCGTTGAATTAGAAACAGGCTAACGTAGTTAACAATTCATAACTAGTAATATTTTTGAAAAATTCACTTTAAATAAGTAGAAATTGATTTTTGAGTAATTTTTTTGTTGTGTTAACCCTATTATTGTATATTTGTTTGTAGAGTGTGTGCATCATGTTGGAAAGATTTGATGTAAAAAAAAATTTGAAATGATCATAACTTTTGTTAGGACTTCGAAAGTTAGAGTCTCAAAATTCTTAAAATTTCATCCTTTACTATATCTTTTATAATTTTTTAAACACTTTTCTTCCACTTCTTTCACATTTCAAATACTTATTTCCTATAGTCTATACTATTCACATTATTCTAACTATTTTTTCTCTTTCTAACATTAAATGGAGATTTTTCATGATTTTATCATGATAAATACAACAAAAATAAATCAAATGTCATCATATCATTTTTAGGGTTCAGAAGAGAGAAATGCAAACGTAATGCTTACATGAGAACTAAGCCCAATAATGGTGATCGTCATGGAAAACATCCAAACAATTTGGTCTTGCAATAAATGGTAAAGAAAGACAATAAAGACAAAAAAGAAAAGGCTCTTTAAACGAATATGAATGGAGACGAAACGAACATGAAAGAGCTCTTTAAACATGAAGATATAGGAACTTGCAAATGAAGGAAAGAAACAACAAAGAAACCAAGACAGAAATCAAAAGAAAAAACAAGAAAACATAAAAACAAAATCGTTCACAATGGCAAGAAGCTATATGTTGGACCAAATAAAAAGTTTTAAAATTAATCCCAATAGTCAGATTATAAACTAATGTAAAATCATAGCCTTTACTCTAATAGTTAGAATATAGACTATGGTTTTTATCATAAAACTTTTAATTTTTTTATTTAGTTTATATTTATCTTTCCATCAATTCAATGTTACTTTTCCTCTCACTTTTCTTAATTTTTTTTCTCACTTTCCACTATTACTTTTTTCCAACACGACTATCAATTAATTGTTAAAAAAAAACAAGTGAAAATATTTTTTAAAAAGACTTAGTTTACAAAATATAATTTAATTCATATTATGAATTCCTATGAAAGACAAAAATCTTAATTCTTTAAGCATGTCTCAAAATCGATATATTAACTAAAACATAATAAAAAGTTTATATAATTCATCACAACTTAAACAAATTACATGGATTATCAATAAAGATAATAATATTTCATTACATTATAACAAAGACTTGAACACATATTGATCACTTCTAAACAAAAATACCAAAAATAAATTACTATCGAGGTAAAAATTCACTAACAGACATTTTATTAGTAGAGAATGAAATACAGTTGTTGATAGGTTCATTAATATTTGATTTCTGAGCAAATATTGTTGGATTCGTCCTTTCATTTAAGAAAAATGCTGGTTCTTGTGAACTTGGTAGTTCATTGAAATAACTACTAATGTATGATAGAACATTTGTCATTGTAGGTCTGACATCAGGATTTTGTTGAACGCATAATAAACCAATTTGAATACACTTAGTAACCTCAAATTCTGAATAATTTTCTTTGATATTTGGATCTAATATGTCTAACCATGTTTGGTCCCTCCATTGTCTCCATACCTACAAAAATTTGTTAAATTAAAAATTCAATGTCATAACCAACAATGAACATTGAAATCTATGTAATCAATGCAAGAAGTGAATAAATTATTGAATTATTATACTTACATAACTTAAGAGACCTTCATGAACATGTGGTTCGTGAGAACTCAAATTCTTTTTTCCAGTAATAATTTCTAGAACCATGACTCCAAAACTAAAAACATCTAACTTTTCTGAAAATTGTCCAAACATTGCATATTCTGGAGGTATATATCCACTGTAAACAAAATGATTAATTAGAACAGAAAAAACTATGAAAAAAATAACAAATAGAATAATGAGAAAAAAAGTATTGTAACTTACAATGTCCCAACAATTTTATTTGTATTGACTTGATCTTGATTTATTTCAACGATTCTAGCTAGACCAAAATCTGAAATTTTTGGAATCATATTTTCATCTAACAAAACATTACTTGGTTTGAGATCACGATGTATAACTTTGAGCCGAGAAAGTTCGTGTAAATAAAAGATTCCTTGAGCAATTCCTTTGATAATATTATAACGTTCAGTCCAACTTAATAATTTTGATAATTGAGAATCTACATGTTAAAATAAAAGAAAAATATAAATAAAGCATATTTTGTAATTTGAGAAAACACAGATATAAATATAAATATATATATATATATATATATATATAT